GGGCCGGGCCCGGACCCGGCACCTGGCCACGTCTAACAGTAAGTGTCCACAACTAATATAAAAAACTAAGTACGACAATTGTATAGCCGTGTACTACACGGGTGCATGAAAAAATAATTTGAATATGGTGTTAATTAGAATCACGTTACAAAATTCAATTCAAGATTTCGAAGTGTGAAGAAATTTGTTACCCTGTACTAGTACATCAAAAAATGAAAACATTGTTAACTCAACTATCAAATAAAAAATATAAAAAATTAATGTAGATATGGTGTTAGTTAACTCAATTATCAAATAAAATAATATGAAAAAATTCATTATACAAAATAAAACCATGTTTGCTCAATTATAAAAAAGAAACACTGTTAACTCAATTATAAAAAATTTAAATATGGAACTTTCCAAGTCATTTTGTTTCCAAATTTTTTATCTGAACTTAAATACAAAAAATAATATTGTAACATGTAGAATTTCAAAGCGTGCGAGCCTGCCACTCAGGGTCAGCACGTTTTTAATTAATATATAAGGTGATTACATATGCTGGTATGCTTATATGCAAGTAAGACTATCTTATATAATCCAATATAATGTGTAGGAAGACCAATAAATTTAGCACACAGCACTAAATCTTATACCTCTCTGAAATGTTCAATTGGTCTACATTTTATACATATCACATTTACAAATATATATTTATTTTATATGTATGTGAGATAAGTGAATTTTATAAACAGGAATGATAAAATTTCACCCCAAAACTTTTATACTAAAAGTAGAGAGTTTAAATATATATCTGCAAGTTTTGTTTATATGTTTTTGGCCTTTCTAGTTAAATCTTTTGCATTTATTTGATTATGAACTCGATTGATTAAATAATTGTAAATAAAAACATCTATTGTTTTTTTTTTTTTTTTTTGGTTATTGTATCATACAATAAACTAGTATTTCGATCTATGTGATATGCGCAGAGGCGAAAAAAAAAAAAATTAAAATTATACATTATGTATATGTCCATAATATTCAAAATTTTAAATTAGACAATGTGTGTATTACATTTAAAATCTTGATTATATACAAAATGTATAATATCAATATATTACTTACATATGAATCGTCATATTGATTCCGTAATATAATGGATAGTGCAATTTTTAAATTCACTACAAAAAATATTAATTTTAGCGGCACTTTATTCTAAATTTAGTGGCAGTTTCTAACCGCCACAAGTACATTTACCACCATTTATTAAACTTTCACTTATACAAATGTCACAAGTAATTTAGTAGCGGTTTCAAAAAACCGCTGGAAAATGTGACGCTATATATTTACACTACAATGAATGCATTTTTGCAACATTAGTTCGCGACAGTTCATTACCGCATCTAGTTATAAATGCAACGACAATTTTTAATCGTCACAATCAATATACATGTTTTTTTTTTCTCGTAGCAGTTCTCAAAACCGCTACTAACATTTACACCAGTTAAAATGCAATAACTGTAATATTTTTTTTAGCATTTGTAATTTCTGCTTATTCCATCATCCAATTTATTATAAATATAAGATTATAACTCACTTGACCAACAAAATATCATGATTTACTTAACCAATAATATCATCAAACATGTAGAACAATTTACATGAAAAGCCAACACAAATTTGTTTAATTTTAAAATTTGACCACCCTAGTTAATAAAATTCACATACATTAGCCCAAAACAACAGCTCCAGTTAGATTCCAAAAGGAGATGAGTAAGAACCCTAAATTACACCAAGACTAGAGGATGAGTCTCTTCTTTAATTGACCAGAGTGGAGAGGGAGTTTCAAATGATTTGGGATACCACACCAGGTAGAGCAAGGCCAATGAACCACACTAGGAAGTTGAAGGTCAAGCGCCAGCGTAGAGCAACGAGTGATAGGTCGAGTTAGGGCTCTCGGATGGCCTGTTAGAAACTCGACTTGAATGTATGGTTAGTCGTGTGATCGACCAGAAGGATAATACTTAAGCTTAGTACACGCAGTATTCTACCTCAACATGATTCGAGTTGGTCGCACAATTATGTGGTCTAACAAGAAAGACTAATGGATAAGAAGGAATATTCACTAAGATAAAGATCACACATGGATAGGGTCAAGCTTCCTAATAGAATTGAGCAGTTCGAGCAGCCTACCCAGACAGTCTTGGGCAACAAGGTATCATCTCCCTATATAAGGAAGTGAGATATGTCCATTGTCATATGACATTCTCTATATTCTCCACATATACACTGCACTTCATCTCCTAGAAATGTTAACTTAAGCATCAGAGACTCTTCATCAGAAAACCACTCAGGTGTGAGATTTGTTGCAGGTCACGAAGGACATTCACCGACAAAAAAGACAGGTCTACGTTGAACCAAGCCGGTCGAGGGTTATTTCGCACCAATGTTCTAGTTTAGTTTGTTCTGGGATGGTAAGGATATGTTTGGATACAAAACTTATCAAAAAAGTCCAAACATTTTTAACTCAATCAATTTTTTTAACTCAATTTCACTATTATCAATATTATCAATATAATTAAATAATATCAATCAATCATTTATACACACCACATTAACGTTAACTTACTATTTATCCACTCATATAATTTTAACTAACCATCACTTCAAATCTTCTCTCTCATACTTTTATATCAAATCAACTTTAATTATTTTATTTTATATATCATTTTATACCTACTAACAACTAACTATACCACTTTTTTCAAAATTAATCAAACCAAACCAAAAATCTAACCAAAACTTAAGAAAATTTATATCCAAGCACATCCTAAAAGTTCTTGGATAATTTATTCACAGTTTTGGAATTTTTATAATGTAACAACACATTTACATTTCATATCTACCTTTGTTATTAACTTGAAAGGGTAAATTCAATAATTAGTTGGGAAGACAGTTTTCCAACCCGAATTGGCCCAGCGGGCCAACTGGGTCTCGAGTCGAGCCGGAGCTAGGACGGCCCAGGCAGGGGCGGACCCACAGGGGGGCCCGCAGGGGCACGTGCCCCTGTGGTATGAGAATTTCACCATATTATATATATATATATGTATGTAATATGTATATATTGTTATAAAACAAGAGAGAAAGAGAGAGAATAGAGAAAATGTTTCTCTTAAATACAATTTTCATTATAACTGAAGCTCCTATTTATAGGAAACTTCTGATGGCACAACCGTAATAATACAATTACATCAGGGACAAAATAGTCATTCACATAAATTATTTTATAATAAATATTTCACAACACTCCCCCTTGAATGACTATTTCTAAACATATTGTAACTCATTAGAACAAAGTCCAATTTTCATATCTTCACGTATATCTTGTGGCCATCAGGTACCGTTGCTTCAGCATGTCAGGAAAACCCGGTGAGACAAAACCTGATCATCTTGAAATCATAACATTGCTTCCTCAGGAAAACCCTGTGGGACAAAACCTGAGCATTGTGGTATCATAACATTGATTCACCTCAAATAGATCATCTTTAATGGAGTATCCACGTGCTGCCTCGTTAAAACCTTGTCAAGAAAACCCAGTGGGAAAAAAACTTGATCTAAGGAAAAATAGTACAGCTACTCCAGTCTTTTCTCATCATCATGAGGAATCATATCAATTATCAGTAGTCCTCATTATACCATGAATGTGCCTCGTTAAAACCTTATTAGGAAAAACCCAGTGGGACAAAATTCTAATGAAGGAAAAAGAGTACACTATTCATGTGAATACATCATCCCTGTTGCCTCATTAAAAACCTTGCTAGGAAAACCCAATGGGACAAAACCTTAGCCAAGGGAAAAAGAGTACAACAGTATTCCACATATTCACCATAATAACTTTGCCATAATTTTCATGAATATTATATAGATTCATTCAGA